CACACACACACACACACTATTTTGTTTGTTTTCTTGAGATAGGATCTTCCTGTAGCCCCATCTGGTCTAGAACTCACTATGTAGACCAGGATGGCCTCGATCTCACAGAGATCCACCTGCCTCTGGCTCCTGAGTGCTGGGACTACAGGTGTGCACTACTAAGCCCAACTACAAATTTATTTTAAAATATTTTACTTATTTTTTATTTTATGTGTATGAGTGCATCACCTGCATGTATGTGAGTGCACCCGTGTCGTGCAATGTCTCGGAGGTCAGAAGAGGGCTTCAGATTCCCCTGGAACTGGAGTTAAGGACAGTTCGTAGCCGCCATGTGGGTGCTGGGAATCAAACCTGGGTCCTCTGCAAGAGCAGTCAGTACTCTTAACCACTGAGCCATCTCTCCAGCCCCTACAATTTTTTTTAATTGGAAAAGTAATGTCCCTGAATATTATAGGCACAGCACTACAGAGAAAGGATGACATTGCCATGTGCTTTGAGAGGAAGAGATCCTGGGCAAGTAAGGACACAGTGACAGAAACACAGCACCAATCTTGAGCTACCAGGAGACTTGATGTCAGATGGATTTTCAGGAATCAAGCGGCCACATTACAATTTGGACAGACAGTGGCATTAGCCTGTCTTCCAAAGGGAAACAGATTAGGTCTTGCCCCTGGTCTTTGAGGCTGAGCCCCCAAGTGTCCTGTTCCAGTCAGTCCCTCAGCTGTAGGAGTACAGTGGCCCCTTTATAGCCATGGGGCACTGATGCCAAGACTCTGTGCATGCCACAATCTGAGGATGCCCGAGTCCTTTATATCAAATGGGGTAGCGTTTGCATGAAGCATACGCCCCTCCTCCTATAGTCTTTAAATCCTCTCTAGATTACTTCTAAAAAATTATTTTTATAGCCAGGTGTGGTGGTACATGCCTTTAATCCCAGCATTTAGGAGGCAGAGGCAACTCATCTCTGTGAGATCAAGGCCAGCCCAGTCTACATAGCAAGTTCCAGGCCAGATGGGACCACAAGGAGACCCTGCCTTTAAAAATAATAATAAAATTAAATTAAAAATAAATATATTTTTTGGAGACAGGATCTCACTATGTGCCTGAACTCTATATGTAGACCAGGCTGGCCTCAAACTCACAGAGATCCACCTGTTTCTGCCTCCTGAGTGCTGAAATTAAAAGCATGCATTAATACCCCCTTCAATGTTTTTTTTATTATTTTATTATTTTTATTTTATGTGTATGAGTGTATTGCCTGCATGTATGTGAGTGCACCCGTGTCATGCATTGCTGTGGAGGTGAGAAGGGGGCTTCGGATTCCCCTGGAGTTGGAGTTAAGGATCGTTTGTAGCCACCATGTGGGTGCTGGGAATCGAACCCGGGTCCTCTGCAAGAGCAGTCAGTGCTCTTAACCACTGGGCTGTCTCTCCAGCCCCTCAATGTGTTTTTTTTGTTGTTGTTGTTGTCTTTGTTTTTTGTAATTATGTGGGTGTGGGTGTGGCTGTATCTGTGTGTCTGTGTGTAGGGTATGTGCACATTCCCACAGAGGCCAGAAGAAGGCATCAGATTCCCTGGAGTTGCAGTTACAGGCAGTTGTAAGTCACTTAATGTTGATGTAGGGACGTGAACTCAGGCCTTCTGCAGTAAACTCCCTTAACTCCCGAGCCATCTCTCCAGTCCATCAACATTACTTAAAACACCCAAAACAGTGTAAATGCTAGTAAATAGTTGTTACTGAAATGTTCCAGGAGCGACAAGAATAAAAAGTCTATACACATCTAGAATAGACACATTTTTTCCGAATATTTCCTACCCGTGTGTGTTTAAACCTACACACATAAGGCTGGGGGGTACAGCATGAGGGTGGGGAGGGAGATGCACTTTCTGGAGAAAGTCAGAGAAACACAGAAAACGGGATTCTGGCAGAACAGAACAGAGGGTATGTTTAGAACTGAGTTATCAAGAGACACCATCGACCAGTTCTGTTTATCTATGTTTTCTTACCCCAAAAGACAGGAAAGAAGAAACTGAATGATAAATAAGACATTCTTCCACTGGCTGAATTCAGTGGCCTAGGATTAAAAAGAAAAGATTCACAGTTAAAGACAATTCAGTTTAAATCTGCTGCTTTGACCAAACTATGTTTCACACAGAACATTTAATTTTTAAAATTGAATGTGTGATATTGAGCAAGTTACTTTCCCACCCTGAACTTAAGTGTGTGTGTGCGTGCATGTGTGTGTGTATCAAGCAAGCACTGAAAGCAGTTGGGTATTTGTTGGAAGCAATGAAGATATGAAGATTAGCCCATTTGTTGCAAATAATAGGTGTGATTAAACTGACAATGTCTGCTTGGGTTGTGGTTGCTGCTCCAGGTCAGTAGGGGTCAGAAGGGACATAATCCTCTGATACACAGTTCCCCTTTTCCTTCCCCATTTCATGCTGGTTGTATGATTTCAATAAAGAGAGGAAAGTCCTTGTTTAAGAGCAGGGTTTCAAGAGAATTCTGAAGGAACTGGTTCCCAGAGAAGTTTGAGTTCCCCCTTGGTTAAAATGGATGCTAAGAGTTAGGGTAGTTTTATTCAGGCATCACCATAATGTAGCATCACACAGTATCACTGCACATGTGCACTCACATTTGTGTGGAGGCCAGACCAGCCTCAAGGGTCATTCCCTAGGTGCTGTTCACCTTCTTTTGAGACAGGGTCTGTACTAACAGGGAGCTTACCAACTCTGCCAAGGCTGGCTAGCCAGTGAGCCCCAGGGATCCACCAGTCTCTACCTCCCCAGCACTGCGATTACAGGAGTGTGCCATCATGCCTGGCTCTTTTACATGGGTTCTGGAGATGGAACTCGGGTCCTCATGCTTGGATGGCAAGCATTTTCCTGCCTGAGCCATCTTCCCAGGACCACCTTGGGTTCGCTTGACAAAACAGGAATTTAAAAACAAAAACAAAAAAAAATCTCAGAGGGTAAAACTTGGTAGTAGAGCAATTAATTTCCTGGAATCCACAAGGCCCTAGGTCTATTCTCCCAGTATCATAAAAATAAAAACAAAAACACCTTCCTTAAATGGCCAATATAAGGACAGCAAAATTCACTATAGCAAACACAGAACGACAGGCATTACTACTGAAAGCATCTTTGCTTGGCAAATCTTTACTAATTACAGCCACAAAATTGGGGTTATGAGTTTTTAAAATAAATCATCCTAGAAGAAAAAACTATTGGCAAGAAAGGCTTCATAACTGTTCTCAAGAACATTGTTCCAGACCAAAAAAAAAAGAAGAAGCCTGGCGTGGTGGCGCACACCTGCAGTTCCAGCACTCGGGAGGCAGAGGCAGGTGGATCTCTGTGAGTTCAAGGCCAGCCTGGTCTACATAGTGAGTTCCAGGACAGCTAGACACAAAAGTTAATACTCAGTTTCAATTTTCCAAGAACCCCTTGAGGCGAGAATAAAATAATCCCGCCCCTTTAAATGGCAGGTAACAATCAAAAGGAGAATTTTAGTGATAACTTGCCTCTTGTCTGCACCCAAAACTGATTTTAAGGAGGCTCCAGTCTGTTGATAGATCCATGCTCAACAGCATGATCAAACCGAAGTTAGACATATGTTGGTAACTATTTAAATATTTTTAACATTAACAATCTTTAAAATATTTTATTTTTTATTTTTATTTTATGTGTACGAGTGTATTGCCTGCATGCATGTGAGTGCACTCGTGTCATGCAATGCCACGGTCAGAAGAGAGCTTCGGATTCCCCTGGAACTGGAGCTGAGGACGGTTTGTAGCCACAATGTGAGTGCTGGGAATCGAACCCAGGACCTCTGCAAGAGCAGTCAGTGCTCTTAATTGCTGAGCCATCTCTGCAGCCCCTAACATTAACAATTTTTAAAATGTAAATGATTAAAATGAGCTTTTCTCCTCCAGTTGATACAATCTTACCTAATCTTCTGTGCCATTGATGTAGTAACAATAGTTACCCACTTCCCCAATCAGAGATACACATTACACGTGGATTGAAACTGGTGGGTGGTCACCTAGGTTCATTATGCTTCTCTCCAAATTTCTGTGTATGTTTGAAAGTTTTCATCATAAACAAATGTTAATGCTTATGTATGGGATTAAGGGATACAGTAAAGCACCTTGTTGGGGACCCCTGCTGTTTTGGGTTGTAGTCTTTCCATGTCCGGATAGCCGCATGCCGGCTCGGCGCAAATGGAAGGACTCCCTTTTTCAGCGGTGCGCCTTCCTGCTCTCTTCCTGACTCACCTTTTGAAGTGCCCATCACAGATACATGTCCTCCAGCATGAAACTGTCAGGTTTTCCTGTGTGATAATCTGGCACTGTCTGACAGCCTGGCAAAAGCCCACCACCACATGTAAATGGGGCATGCTACAAAGCACCTATCAACTAAGGCTTTTGCTACTGCCTCCACACTATAAATATCCTGATTTCCCCCTAATGAATCAGAGCTGAATCACTAAGATCTGGAGCTGAGCTGAGTCACTGAATAAAGGAGCTGTACCTGACTGAGCTGAGTTCTGTGTCTTACTGCCTACGATTCAGTCTCTCCGGAGGGGGCTGTCCCTTTGTAAACATTCACTCGCGAAGATCCTGCTTTCGCCGTTGTTGCACCTCCCCTCGTGACCCGGCAGCCGACGGATCGCGAAACACAGAGGGAGTGCCTGGTAGCTTGGAATGGAATTTGCTTGGAAGCGCAGCGACCCATAGAGTCACCAGCATCCAGTAGCCGCGGAGAGCCAGGGACCCGAGCAGCAACGCGGTGCGCGGGACCCACCCATATCTGGCGCCCAACGTGAGAGCCTCGGAACTCCGCGCCAGCCAGCAGCTGGCACCCCCTGAAACGCAGAATTCATGAGTACCTCTCCCACCAGGAGAGCATCAGAAATCTTTCTTTCATCTCCCATCAGGAGATTAAAAAGGCAGCTGTGCCTACAAGCCACCCCACTCGTGGGGCCTGGCAAATCTCCCTTTCTTTCATCTCCCATCAGGAGACTAAAAAGGCAGCTGTGCCTACAAGCCACCCCACTCGTGGGGCCTGGCAAATCTCTCTTTCTTTTGACTCCCATCAGGAGACTAAAAAAAGCAGCTGTGCCTCCAAGCCTCCCCACCCGTGGGCCCTGGCCGTCTCTTTTTCTCTTTTTCTCCTTCTAAAATAAACTTCCCTAATCAGTTTTGTTATCCTGCCCCCAGGGCACTGAAACCACAGCTAAAACCAGTTAGGTGAGAATTTAAATTAACCAGCCCCTGCCGAGCACTTGAAAGTTCAAGGTGGCTCGCGCCAAACAAACAAAAGATTTAAAAAGGCCATTTTTTTTTTCTGTAGTCTGCAAGCCAGGCTTGTACCTGTCAGAGCGTTCCAATCCCCTGGTGTCAGGCTGCTGCAGGAACATTAAACGCTAGACAACACTATTTTCCTTTTATAATGGGTAATTCAACATCACAACAGAAAAAACTCCAAATTCGTTCCCTTCGAGCCTTACTTAAATCAAGAGGACTTAAGATCTCCCAAAAAGAAAGCTTAAAATTTTGGAATAAAGTATATCAATTTGCACTGTGGATCCTGTCAGCAGACATTTCTGATCCAGAGGTCTGGACTAATATTGCATATCTGGCTTGTAAAGAAGAAATCCAGGAAAGGCAAAATTTCCCCCTTTCCTTTCTCCCCATAATAGCAGCTATCCAACAATGCTTAAGAAACCCACCTAAGATTGAAGAAAGCTTACAAGCACCAGAAAATAATAAAGGGGAGAGTTCAAACAATACAAAAGACCTAAAATATGCTATGATAAACACCCTAGAGACAAAAGGTCTTATGATAGCTACAAATAAAATACAATCAATTCCCCCCATTACCTTCCTGGGAACTGAAATAACGCCTACTACTGTTAGGCCCCTTAAACCTATTCTAGATGTTCCCCTTAATTCCCTCCAGAGCTTCTTTTTCTGTCACCCTCATGGCTGTCTTTACCCTGCTTAACAACAATGCTTCAGCCAGCCCCCACTCTCCCTAATACCATGTGCTAGAGATTTTACTTTTCAGGAAAAAATCAGATCCATGGGACAATCGCTGGAGTATTGGAGTAATAACAAAATTCTACCCAGGTGCATTCTCTAGGTACCCTACAGCTAACTTTCATATCTCTCAACAGCTTGCACCTGCAGCTAAGTCTGTGCTAACGCATCATAATATTATTCTACAGGAAAGACAGAGGACCAGATAAGATCAACTATGTCCT